CAGTCCAGCTGTTACAATATGCACCTGGGGTATGGGAAACCATGGATTCAAGTTCCCCTTCCAAGTGATGGGCAGATGCGGTTTGAACAGGGCTCTGATTCCTCTTAAGCACGGGCCCTAGCCACTGGACTATTGGGGGAGGGAGGTCTGCTCAGTCTCTCCTGTTGAAACTGTTCCACTCTGACTAAATAATTACAGAGTCATTGGGCCAAAGAGCAAGCTTGGGAATGACTCTATAGCCTAGTGGTTAGAGCACTCAGGCTGGCTGGCTGGGAGAAACCCAGGAGGCAGCCCCCCCTGCCCCAGTGACCAAAACAGTGGGGAGGCTCCAGACTGGAAGACAGGTAACATTGTGACAATATTTAAAAAGAGTAAATGGGACAACCAGGGGAAACCTAGGCCTATCAATCTGGACATCAATCCCAGGCAAAATAGTGGACCAGCTGATATGGGCCTTGATTAATAAAGAATTAAAGGAGGGTAATATAATTAAAGTCAATCAGCATTGGTTTATAGAAAATAGATCCTGTCAAACTAATAATATCTTTTTTGATGAGATTACAAGTTTGGTCGATACAGGTAATAGTGTTGATGTAATAGACGTGGACTTCTGGAAGGCATTTGACTTGCTACTGTACGATGTTTTGATTAAGAAACCAGAAGAATACAAAATGAACCTGGCACACATGAAATGGATTAAAAACTGGGTCAAAATGTAATTGTAAGCAGTGAATCATCATAGTGAGGGTGTATTTCCAGTGGGGTCCTTCAGAGGTCAGTCTTGGCCCTACACTTTTAACATTTTCATCAATGACCTGGAAGAGAACATAAAATCATCACTGATAAAGATTGGGGGAGTGATAAATACTGAAGGGGACAGGTCAAATTCAGAGCAATCTGTATCGCTTAGTAAACTGGGCACAAACAAATATGACGTGTTTTAATACGGCTAAATGTAAATGTATACATCTAGGAACAAAGAAGGTAGGCCATACTTACAGGGTCGGGGACTCCATCCTGGGACGCAGTGACTCTCAAAAATATTTGGGAGCCGTGGTGGATAATCAGCTGAATATGAGCTCCCAGTGTGATACTGTGGCCAAAAGGACTAATGAAATCCTAAAATGCCTAGTCAGGGAAATCTCAAGTAGGAATAGAGTGGTTATTTTACTTCTGTATTTGGCAGAGGTGGAATATTGTGTCCAGCTCTGGTGCCCACAATTCAAGGAGGATGTTGCTAAGTTAGAGACAGGTCAGAGAAGATCCACAAGAATGATTAAAGGATTGGAAAACCTGTCTTAGAGCTTAGAGACTCAAGGAGCTTAGTCCATTTAGCTTAACAAAGAGAAAGTTATGGGGTGACTTGATCATAGTCTATAAGTACCGACATGGGGAACAAATATTTGAGCTCTTCAATCCAGCAGAGAAAAGTCTAACATGATCCAATGGCTGGAAGTTGATGCTAGGCACATTTAAAGTGGAAATAAAGTGCAAAATTTTAAAAGCGAGAGCAATTAACTATTGAACCAAGGGCTGTGGTGGAGTCGGACCAGTTTAAAATAAAGATCAGATCTTTTTTCTTTCTAAAAGTGATACTCCAGTTCAAATGAGAGTTAATTCAGGCAAGTTTGATGGCTGTGTTACGCAGGAGGTCAGACTAGATGATCACAGTGGTCCCTTATAATGTATAAATCTATGAATGAGTTACTGGTGGCGGGGGGGGAGGGGAGCTGGGAGTCAGGACTCCTGGGTTCTATCACGGTGCTGGGTGGAGGGTGGGGTTTGGTGGGTAAGAGCACGGGCAAGAATGGAAGCCAAAGCTCCTGGGTTCCCTCCAATGTGCTACCTCCCAATTTCATTATTTTCTCTCTCTTCCAGGCATTGAGCTGATGAATGGCTCGGCAGTCTCACAGTTCACCCTCCTAGGCCTGTCCCACTCCCGCCCTCTCCAGCTTCTCCTCTTCGGCCTGGTCTTGGCCTGCTATGCCGCCAGCCTGCTGGGCAACTTCCTCATTGTGGTGACCGTGCGGGTGGACCCACGCCTCCTCCAGTCCCCCATGTACTTCTTCCTGGCCAACCTCTCGCTCATTGACATGGCCCTCGGCTCAGTGGCTGCTCCCAGGATGCTTGGCAACTTGCTGAGCGAGGGCAGCACCATCTCCTATGGGGGCTGCATGGCCCAGCTCTTCTTCCTTCACTTCCTGGGTGGCTCCGAGATGTTCCTCCTCACACTCATGGCCTATGACCGCTACGTGGCCATCTGCCACCCACTGAGCTACACCGAGACCATGCACCGCCACCGCTGCCTGGGCCTGCTGGCAACCTGCTGGGCTGGAGGCTTGCTCCACTCTGCCACTCAGCTGGTGTTGGTGGTCCGGCTGCCATTTTGTGGGCCCAGCAAGCTGGATAATTTCTATTGCGATGTACCTCAGGTGGTCAAGCTAGCTTGCACCGACACCTACATGGTAGAGATGCTCATGGTGTCCAACAGTGGCCTGATCTCTCTGGTCTGCTTCCTGGTCTTGCTGGGGTCATATGGTGTCATCTTGGTGACTCTCAGGGGACGCTTTGGTGATGGGGGCGGTGGGAAGGCTTTGTCCACCTGTAGCGCCCACCTGATGGTGGTGAGCCTCATCTTTGTACCCTGCATTTTCGTCTACCTCCGGCCTTTCTCCAGCTCACGGATGGACAAGATGGCCTCCATCTTCTACACCATCATCACGCCAGTGCTGAACCCCATTATCTACACCCTGAGGAACCAGGAGGTCAAGGAAGCCATGAAGCGACTGAGGCATAGGTTTTGGTTCCCTTGTTGGACATAGAAGTCCAATGGGAGCAGAGAAAAAGAGTGATTTATTTATTCATTTATTTATTTATTTTACGAGGATCAGTGTAAAGTTTTGCATGTGGCATAGGGATCTACGTGAAAAAAATCATGCGGTTCTAGGAATATGTTTGGTTTCTTCTTAGGCAGGTGTCAGGGTGTTTTTAATGAGGATTTCTGCCAAATTTGTCATGTGACACTGGGATCCTTGCACATTTTTTTCATCCTTTATGTTTCAGTGTCTCCTCAGTGAGTCTCGTAGGTGAGTGGGTGGGAGGTTAAATATTTTTCAGCAGGATTCATGAAAATTTTTTCATGTGACATCTGGAGCAATGGAAAAAAAACGTATGTGGCTTTTGGACTGTCTCTGTGTTTTTGGTGTAGTGTTAAGGTTGGTGACGGAAGTAATTGGTTGGAGTGATTTTCATGAGGACTGGTGCAAAATGTCACATTTAATAATGGGATCAGTGAGGAATTTTTCATGTGGTCTCAGTGCCCTAATTGGTTTTGGTTTGTTGTTAGGAAGGAGATGGGGGGTCATGGAGTAATGGTGAGAAAGATTTGCACAAGGTTAGAATCATGGAGTCGTACACGATCCCTTAATGCTTTGGGTTTATTTCATAAAGTAGGTTTGGGGAGTTGGGTTTAAGTTGTTGGCAGTGGACAGGGGGATTCGTGAAAAAGATTTTCACGATGATCCATGCACAACCTTTCATGCAGCATTGGGCTCTGTGTGCCAGTTTCCACAACTCTGCAGGTCCCCTTCAGCTGGGACCCAGTTGCAGTGCATTGTTGGAAAACAGTGGGAAGGCTTTCCCTGGAGTTGTGTGTGAAATTTCTCACATGGATTCAAGACTCCAGGGCTCTCATAAAGGAAAAGAAAGCTTTTGGGAAGAACTGGGGAACATGTTCTTCTGGAAGATAAATACAACATTTTTCATATGGCTTCAGAAGTTATTATTTTGATTTCTCCTTATGAAGGATGTGGGTGATAGGGGGAAGGGGTGATTTTTTTTTCACAAGTATCCATGCAATTTTTTCAAATGAGCTGGGTGAATAATGGCAGTTCCAAATATGAGAGTCTGGACTATTTTTTTTTAAACCAAAAAAACTTGGTTCAAGTAGAACCAGATTTGAAAATTTGAAAACACATTTTGGCAAATTGAAATTTTTTGGTTTGGGTCGAACAAAATGTTTAATTCAATCTGAAACATGTTGTCTCCAGGTGTTTTTAAAAGGCCTGATTCATAAAGTAGCTGGTGGGGACAGCTGTTACTGCCCTTATATGGATTAGAGGGGTGGTTAGGCCACTGATGTGGGAGACCTGAGTTCAATTTCTCTCTCTGCCTGATGGGGAGAAGGGATTTAAATTTGGGTCTCCCACCATGCCCTGGTCTATGGGATTTTTGGATGCAGTGCTCTCTTTGGGTATGTGTACACTGCAATAAAACACCATAGCTGGCCTATGTGAGCTGACTTCGGCAGGGCTTTAAATTACTGTGTAGATGTTTAAACTTGGGCTAGATCCCGGATTCTGGGACCCTCCCCTATCTTCATATCCTTTCTCCTCCTGAAAAATGCACTATATGTGAATTTGACACAAATTGGTGAATAGTTTTGGACAATTTCCACCCCCCCACCCTCTCCCCAGAACTTAGACAACATTCACAAAATACCCAGAGAAGGAGCTATCTCCAACATCCCAGCTGAGCACCCTATCACTTAGAAAGGAGATGGCTCCTTCTCTGGCTATATAATGTTGGTGCCCTGAAAAGTGCATTTTTCAGTGAATTTACCAGTTGCCAAAATTCTTTTGCCCAGCCCTGTTCAGGACCCATCCGTGTTTTGGTTTTTCATGGTGGAAGAGTTGGGAGCTGGTTTGAGGGTGTTGGGTAGGAGGGGGTAAGTTAAAAACAATTTAATGAGAATGGTGTAAAAATGTTCATGACTTGTGTGTATTCATCCCTGCCTCCATCCACCTTCCAGTCCCCTGTCTTGTTTATCTCTGTACAGCCTTTTGGAGAGTGGGTTTTAGCAGGGCTTTATTTGAAACATGCCATTGTATAAAGTAAGACATACTGTAAATAGTTTATTTAAATACATGTAACCCTTCTGCTCATCTAAGTTGGCAGCAACAAGGGCCGGGTTCTGTATCTAGGGGTTCCGTTTCAATAACACAATGCAAAACCGGCTCGAGCCCCCACCCAGTGACCTGGGACAATTACATATCACCCCCTGGGTGCCTCTAAGGGGCAATACTTCCCCTCTCGCAAGCATGGAGTCTGAGTGTAACAGAAAATGTTTAATAACATGAGGTAAACGACATCAGCATTAAATTGGAAAAACACCACAAACAGGATTCATAACACAAACCCCCATGAGCAAAAACCCACCCCAGCAAATTGGGCTGTGTCCTTTCCCTTTGGTTCTTGAATCC